AAAAATAAATAAAAAAAATCATAAATTTTTATAATTAAATTAATATATATAAAATTATTAAACTAAATAGTACATAAATCGATTTTCTATTCCTTTTCAACGCTTCTATATAGTGCTTCTAGAGTCGCCTGCACTCCTCTTGCATTTTAGTTGCCAATGGTATAATACAGTACGCCTGCTTTCCTGGGTGGGGTTATTGCCACAGCCACTAATGTTAATGCCACAGCTTTTTTCAGTTATTTGACCATTAACCCACGCGGAGAAGGTGGTGACTGCTGCAAGTTGGATTCAAATGAAGGGTATAATAGTCAAATAACTAAAAAAAACTGTGGCATTAACATTAGTGGCTGTGGCAATAACCCCACCCTGCTTTCCTTTAAAAAAGAGAAAATGGAATAACAAGAATCCCGGGAGAAAGTTAGTGGAATGTATATAATATTTGGTGATTGCTAGCCAGGCGGGCCATAAGTCGTTGTCTCAATCAAATATATGAACACGCACTTATTGCAGGAGGAAAAAAAGAGAGCATTTAAGAGGTTGGGCAAAAAGTAGTGTTAGGCCTCTAGATTTTTTTTTTTTCATTTTTTTACATAAGCTTTAAAAAAAAAGTGATATATAAGTTTTTAAATGCCTAAAGTTAAATAAATTAGTCATTGTATTAATGATAAAATTATATGTGATTATATAAATAAAATATTTATTTATTTTTTCACTTGTGTGGTAATTTTTTTAGGCTTAAGCATTGGAAAAGGACCTTAACTTTTACCAAATTCTCAATTGAGGTCCTCAATGTTTATTATTCTCAATCAAGGTCTCAAACTCATGTAAAGTCTCAAATAAGGGCCCAATTGGATGGAATCCTGATTATCCGTTAAGTCTAACATGATGCCCATTATAATCCGTTACCCCTCAATACGTGGCATGCCAACTAGACAATAAAAAGTATTTTCGGACGTGCCATGTTGTAATCCCACATCTCTCATTTTTCTCCCATCTCTCCTCTTCCTTCCCACTCCATGACTTGGGGGCAAAATCCCTAGAATTTTCAGTTTGTTTCTTTTCTTTGCAGGGTCTTCTTCTCCACCCAACAGTAGCCACCCCATCCCTACAACTTCTCTGCTCCATGACCGGCCTCTCTCCCTGCAAGTTCTTCTTGTTCTCCACCCAACAGCTGGCCTTTTCCATGCAAGATCTGCTTCTTCTTCTTCACTGAGCAATCGGCCTCTCTCCACGCAAGATCTACTTCTTCTTCTTCGCCGAGTAGCCGGCTTCTCTTCTTGCAAGTTCTTCTTGTTCTCCACCCAACAACCGACCTTTCTCCATCAAGATCTGATTCTTCTTCTTCGCTGAGTAACCGGCCTCTCTCTGTGCAAGATCTTCTTGTTCTCCGCTCAACGACCGGCCGTTCAAGATCTTCTTCTTCTCCTCGCCATAGCAGCCCACCCAATCCCTAGAACTTTCCCAAGCAATCTCTTGTCCCATTCCACAAATTGGGGACCGAAATCCCTAGAATTTTCCCTACCAATTCCTTCCCCATTACTTCGATCTTGATCTTCTTCTTCTCTTGTTTGGTGCTATTGATTTCCTATTAGCCTTTCTTTGCTGCTAACACCAGTCCACCCAACGGCCAAACACTAGTCCCATTTCACAATTTGGGGGTGAAATCCTTAGAAGAGAAACCCACCCAACGACAACAAGAGCACCCCTAGTCAATTAGTTTAGGTTTGATTGCTGCAAAGAAAGGAAATTAAAAATCCTAAAAATTGAGGTCAAGGTCAAGAATAGTGCACATGCTCTTCTTTTCCTCCAATTGCTGTTGATTTTTGAAATTGTTTTTCTTCTACAATATAGTGTTGTCTAGTGCTAGTTGTTGGCTTGATTTAGTATAAGTGATATGTTTGAAAATCTTATAGGGAAAATGGTCATGATTATTTTAGTGTAAATGGCTTCTTTTGTGATGTTTATATGGTAATGGTCATATGATTGTTTTAGGTAAATCGTGATTCTGTATTTGTATATTAGCCATTATGGAAATGGCCATTTGATTGTAATTTCTTCAGTGACAGCAATGAAAATTATTTCTATTATCATTTGTCTATTGTCATCTTGATATAGAACGTATAATTGGTATGATGGAAACAGACAAAGGCAAGAGAAACTCTACCAAATTGACAAAAACAGAACATATAATTAGTATGTTGGAAACAGACAAAGACGAGAAACTTCGCCAAAATGACAAAAGGAACAGAGGAAAGAAACCTTAAATATATTGGAACTGCAACTTTAAACAGAAAAGAAAACTCCAGAAGAGGCACACTCCTAACTTTAACTAACATATTTCTTGGGTTTTTATATTAAATAAGTATTAAATAGTCAAAGATGGGAAAGGAAAAGGAGTCTTGTGGGACCCACTTAAGTATGTGGAGGGAAAGATCCGCCACAACATGCCATGTTGGACAATTTTTTTACTGTTAGCATTATGGGTCTAGTCGGCATGCCACATGTTGAGGGCCGTAACGGATTATAACTGGTGTCATGTTAGACTTAACCTGATGGTTAGGATTCCATCCAATTGGATCCTTATTTGAGACTTTACATGAGTTTGAGACCTTGATTGAGCATAATAAACGTTGAGGACCTCAATTGAGAATTTGGTAAAAGTTAGGGTCCTTTTCCAATGGTTAAGCCATTTTTTTACATCTAGATGATAATGTAGCATAAAACTTAGTCGTTTAGTTTTTAATTTTAAAAATTTTGAGTTATATATTGTAAATATTTAAATTTAAAAAAATTATTATATTAATATTTAAATGTAAAAAAATTATCACATAAGTAAAAAATAAATAATTGTTTAACTTAAGTAATCACAAGTGATTTTACTATATATTATTGCTAATACAAAAATTAATTTACTTAAATTTAAATATTTAGGGACTTACGCACTTGGCCTTCGGGCCAAACGACCTTAGGACTGCCTTGTAGTGCATTTCTCCTCTCTCCCATGGTGGGTTCGAAACCCACCCTTGTAAACTTGGTAAAAAAATATATATATTTAGGGACTTACGTACTATTTTTTTCTTTGAGGGCTTGAAAAAAATAAATTAATGAGAAAAGCCTTAGGGCTTGACATAGGTTTTGTTGGGAACATCAAGTAAGGGTCCCCCATGGGAGAATAATATTTTAATCAATGATGAGCAAGTGAATTTGATCTTGTCCTTTTGCTTCTTTTTTTTTTCTTTTTTTTTTTTGCACTTTTTAAACAGGGTAGTATGTTGGGCAACTTTTGGAGATAAAGGAAACAGGGAGGACCGAAACACGATTCCAATAAAAACCTCTATGTTGGAAGATACAACTTGCTCTACCTAGAGTTCTTTTGTCGTTTGTCTTTTACTTTATTTTGGTTTAGCAAATTAGACTTTCAATCAGGAAGTAAAGAGAAAAAAATGTAAATAAAAATGTTAATTTTATTTTTTTATTTAAAAATATTAATTTTATTAATTTTTAAATTAAAAATATTAATTTTTTATTTTTTATTTTAAAATATTAACTTTCAATATTTCAATTAAAAAATTCATTTGTCATATTAGCATTATTATTTAATTAACCATTAAATAGAAAAAATTAAAAATTAATATTTTTAAATAAAAAAATTAAAAATTAATATTATTATTTCCAAACTAATAATAAGTATTAACAACTTTATATATTTTTAAATAAAAATTAACATTAATTAAAATCATATTAAGTATTTTAACTATGTTTTATATATTTTTAAAATATTAAAAAATTAAAAAATATACCATTATAACCCAAGTTTTCAAATGAAGCCTTAATATCTGCGAGTTAAAGTTACTTCACCCTGACTTTTGCTTCTACTCCCTTCTTTTTATCCTTAATAGACTTAATTTTAATTGGGGATTTAAATTTGGTTATTTATTTTTCAAGATGTTTTTTAATATATAGATTTGTTGGTCTAAGTAAATGTGAAAGAAATTCAGTTATTCTTAAACAAAATTTTGAATTCGAGTTTTGCGAATGAAGAGATAACCCCAAATTTGTCAAGACCTAATGTAGCTTATGGATACAAAGGGTTTAGTACCAAAAAAGTTATCATTTAATTGTTTATTTTCATTTTACCCTTATTTTGAAAAGATAATTAAAATATATACATTAAGTAAGAGGGTTTTACTTTCTTTGTCCCAAAATAACTATTGTTTTTTTTACTTTTTTTTCTAAATTAAACATTTAGGGATAATTTATGTACTTATATTACTTAAAAAAAAAACTAACAAATAAAGTAAGATTTTTTGTGAATAAGATAATTAATCAAAATAAATAGATTATAATAAGGTTAAAGTAAAAAAAATATTTATCTAGTACCTTAAAAAAAAATATGGTAATTAATTTGAAACAAATTCAAAATTAAAAAAAAAAAAGACAATTATTTTAGAACAAAAAGGAAAGTAAATAATAATTAATTATATAAACATAAGATTTATCAATTAATTATTATATTTTTATTTTATTAAACAAAATAACTAGTCCTACTAAAGATTAACAAAGGAGTAAGTCCTAACTAAACAATCTAAAAAAAAAAAAAAAGAAAAGAAAAAGAAGACTGCCCACTTCTTGGGACTAAAGTTCAGTAAATCTGTAATTCAAATTTAATGAAGCGTGGCCCATGGCTCACTTAATCAAAGTCCTGACGTTTTGGGTTTCCCCTCATGGGCTTAGAAAGCCTAGATGTCCGTGGGCACGGAAAAAGCCTCAGTAGTAGACTTCCTGGACTTACAAATTGCAGTTTCTCCATGTGGTTTGGATATCACAAAAATATACACTTGATTTCAATATATTTGAAAATGTACTTTTGACCCCTTTTAATTTAAAAAATATACACTGAACCCCCAAGGATTTTTGATATTTCACCTTTAATATTAATATCCTGGATGTTTTGAGTACACATCTTCCAAACTAAAAGAGGGTTAAGAGTAGTACGTTTTCATGATTTGGAGGGGAGGGCTAAGTGTTTCAAACCACATAGGGTCATGTGCACATTTTCAAAAAACTAAGTGAACCCACCCAAAACTACAGTAGAGTAAGTGTAATTTATCCATTTTTATTGATAATGAAAGTCACTGGACTTTATCTCAAGATGGTTAGCTCAAATCCTAAAAATCTCAAAGTTTTTATATACAAAGCTTAAAAATCTCAACTTTTCATAGACAAAGCCTTTCAATCTGTCCTAAACGTGTAAACCAAGTTTACAATTAATTTGATTTAGTTATTAGAGGTTAGTTGATAATCATTTGCGTCCTACAATTTAAACTTAAATGTTTCATATTATAATTACTTTTCTAACTATTCAAAGGCAACTAATAACTAATAGATCACTAAAATTTTCAAACAACCAATGCACAAGCAGTTGGATTCAACATCTAGCTATTGTTGAGTATTTCAATACCTAATAGTTGTTGGATATGAAAATTTCTTCCATATAATTGAAATAGTGGTACCTCCGTCCTCTAATGTACTAATATATCAATATCTATGGTTTTCATTTATAATTAAAAAGATTAATTTATTACTATTTATAAATTATTTATGTGTGAAAGGGAGTTAAAAATACTGGCATGCGTGCTACATTAATAAATGGGAATACTACTAACACGGTATTACATCATATGAAGAATTTCCCATTGGATGTCAACCAGTAAAAGCTGTTAATATTTTAATATTTTAGATACAATCTTTAGTAGTTTCCTATCCCCACCCCAAAACCCGATCGAACTCAATTATTTCTCAATGAAAATGAAACCAAAGAGAAGTTGGAGTTTCCTAAGGTCCAACGACCTTTACCGCAAAGTCGAATCTAATGGTAATAAATAAATGTTATTTCATAAATTTAATATTTAGAGCTAATATTTAAATAAATAAAATTTTAAAATATATATGATTGATATTTAAGATATGTTTTTAAAATTATTTTAAATTATTAAAAAATAATTTTACAATATATAAAAATTAATTTTAAGATTCAGACATAAATTTAATTATTAAAAAAAATTCCAACGGCCTTTAGCCGACCACACCATTTGAAGCAACCACACAAAATCGACTCTTAGCATATTCCGCATGACCTAGATAGTAGGAGACACGTTGCAAACATAATAGCATCAGAATCTTTGCTCCAGAAAAAAAGGGTCCTCTGCTCATGCTCGATCATTACACATCTCCATCCTTTTGTGGCTTACGTGTCAGACATCAACCAAGCTAGCCGAAAACTTTCCATTTCCAAACTGCGACGTGCTACCATACTGGTCTCCATAATTCAATGAGGAGACATGACGGCAAAAAGAAAATAGGGAAAATAAGAAGGCATGTCACATGCACCCAAAAGGTTGATGAAGGCATATAAATAAGAAATAAGATGCCCGATGATTTGTCCCAAATCTTAGGGATTTGGAGGAGGTAGAGATCAGATTTTTGAGTTCTGTTATTATTGTAAATTTTATTAATTTGTGATTTAATAATCGTGCACCTTATATGAGGGGGTGAAATATTTATCATTTTGAAAAATTTTAACTAATAACAAACTAACTTTACTAACTTTCTAATCATTACTCTTGTCAACAAAAA